TAAATAATAATCCGCTTATGTTTCCTGTTGTCTTATATATTTCTCACAAGGATGATTTTTTTTTTTTTACCCTGTCAGCTTGCTCTTTATATCCTTGTAGCTGGCATTCTTTGCATATATATCAACTATGACTGCGACAGGCAAAGACAAGAATTTCGTAGAACAAATGGCAAGTGCTTGGTTTGGGGGAAAGCCCATCTAAGGTATGATGCATTCCATCGAGGAGTCCTGAGATTAGTACACTTTCTGTTTACCATGTCTGCTATTGCTGTCATGTAATTTTTCCTGGCTGGGGTTAAAACTTCGTTTGGTTTGTATCACCTTCAGATTGTTGCCTCGTACACTACAACTTCGAGCGAGACAAAAACCAGCCTTTTACTAACATCAGGATGGTAAGTTATTTCTGCTTGGCCCTGGGGTTAACCTTCCAATTCTGTTCATGCTGAGCTTGGTTGATGTTTGTTTAAAGATGAACATAATTTTGTTTTGTTTCAAGGTGACGAACGATCAAATGTAATTCTTCATTAAGAAATTATGATAAGTTTAATTTCCCAGCTTGTGATGTGGTGGCCTGCATTTCTTTGATCTGTGTGAGCGTGGAATATACCGGAACACTTAAATCTGGATGGACCTTGGCCAGTATCTTAGGTTAAATGACTTTGGACTTCCTCTGATATTATTAGTTGCTGTTTTTGTGGGGCTTATCTCGTCATTTCCATTATGTACCAGAAATATTAGCAGCTTTTTTCTGGACTGTGCCTGCTCTGTTTAGTCATGTAAGCAAGTGCGACAGACATAAGAAGTTGTAGTGCTTGACATTCTTTTTTTCTTCTCTCCAAAAGAAGATTTTACAAGGTCCTACCCGTGTTTGAGTGTCAGTATATTTTACAGTAAACTTCATGACCCTGCTCTTTTTTTTCTTCTTCTGCAGTTTCTTCCTTACTTCTATGTAGTGTTTCTCACAATCCTTCTCTTTGACCGAGCCAAAAGGGATGACGATCGATGCAGATCAAAGTAAGCTAAGATGAAATCTCTCTGTCTGTGTCTTTTGGTCTATGGGAAGTCTGTTTAATGTGTAGGACACAGAAATCTTTCGCAGATCAAAAGCAACTTTTTTGGCTTTGCACTAGTTCTTGTGCTTTTTTGATGTGTGGTTTGAGGTCGTGCATGGAAAATTCAGTCCGTGTCCTCAATGAGTAGTAATATTACAGATGGGGTGGTTTTGTTGCATGCATGCATGCATGCTGAGTTGGGAATATTACAGATGGGATTGTGAAAACATTACGCTGAGTTTTAAGTGTGGTGGATGGTGTGCAGGTATGGGAAATACTGGAAGCTATATTGTGAGAAGGTACCGTACCGGATTGTACCCGGACTCTACTGAGTGAGGTTCTCTCTCTCTCTCTGTTAAGTATGATGTTCGGTGGCGTCTCATCAAATTGAAGCTGTAATATTATTATACAGTCTGATGGATCTTTGTCAACGCATTTTCAAAGTGTTTATCTGGGGGCAGAAGGAAGGTGGTTGTACTTTGTTTGTTGCCTTCTTTCCTCCTTCCTTTTTCCCCCCCCTCCCCTTTTAATGTTAAAACGTCGCAGGCAGGAGTCTTCCTTCCTTTAGTAACTGTTATGAGTCCGAAGACTCGGTTTTTTTTTTTTTTTTTTTAATAAATAAATATTGGAGTTGCTGCTGCAGGCAATTGGTTTTGATCTGTTCTAATATTGGGGTGGCACAGTGCACTGCACATCAATCAGTACGTAATTACTAATGATCTGTTGTTTCCTTGCACACATCAGTACGCATATACTGCCGGACCACACTCGCCATAGCCATAGGAGTTAGTAGATTGCCACTGCTGACACACACACCAAAAACCAAAAAAAAGGGTATAGATTTTTTATGTATGATGATGATAATGGAAGACGAAAGGAATGATAGCCCAAAGAAAAAGACAGAGCAGAAGTATCTGTTGTTGTTTGCATATGCAGAAGACAAATAATAAACAAATAGTAAAAAAAAAACAAAAGAAGCACACTGTTGAGTGAATGTTTGGTGGAAGCGAAAATAATCGAAGACAAATTAGCGAAAATAGTAACAAACACAGTACCGTACCAATTGTGAATTAGCGTCCCAGCATCTGGGCTTTCCGTCGTGGAATGCTAAAGGGAAGGGAGCCCAGCCCAGTAGGAGTCCTGTCCTCGATTTAAGTTGCTAAGTTAGGTGTGTTTCGCTTCCGACTCAAACTACAGAATACAGATCAACAACTTCCCCGCCGTCATCGCTATCCACCACTCTTCCTTTTGTCCGACCGTTCCCCCCCCCCTCCTCCTCCTGCCCCGTCTCAATTCCATGCAATTCAATTCGGGTATCTCGTATATTTTAGGGTTCTTTTTCTTCTTTTATTGTTGATCTTTGGATCTCCTCCCCACAAATGAAACTGATCTATTGATTGATTGTGTGGCGTTGCGCGTTTTGCTGTCATAATGAAAGCTATCAATTAATTGGTTGGTTTCTTTGTGTTTTTTTTTCCTATTTTTTGGTTAGCTTAGATTGTATTGCTGTTGGATATGTCTTCTGCGTATGAGAATGTGGTCGGAGGAAAGCTGAAACTGAAGGGAAAGGCCTAGATGTGAAGGCTGCTTCTGGATAAGGAAGAAGAAGAATAAAAGAACAAGCAGCTGGAGAATGACGACAAGAATCATCAATTGACTGAACATTTCGACGACGACCAAGAGACCGCCGCTGCTGCCAAGGATAATGACCTGCTTTCAGCTGGTTAGTTACTACCCCTTCCCTCCTATTTTTGTGCCTTGTCAAAAGGATTTCTATTCAAGATGCTAGCCATCTCTTATTCACTTCATTTTGTTGGTCCGGAATCCGAAGTTCAACTTCTCCGGGTATTTTAGCTTACCGTCGCTATAGCCGCCCTTGCTACTTGCTAGTCTCTTCTGTCCTCTGCATGGTAGTAATCAAATCATCCTAACCTGGCATTGGTTTGGTTTTGATGAGGCTGGCAAAAGGACCTTTCTAGTCATGGTAAAAGGCTGTAGAAAAGTTTTTCGTATGTTCGTTTGGATTCCTTAGGAGGTGCGCTCCTATCAGTAACCTCTTTTTTTTCAATTGCCTTTGACCCTCAGAAAAAAAAAAAAAACCTTCACTTTGCACACTGGCAAATTATGCAGGGTGCTGTGGGAAACTATAGGAAAACTGTGTGTAAAACCTACTACTTTCCTATCAGATGGACACTCACAAAGAAAAAATTATTTTGGGATTCATCTTCCTTTCCACTTTCCAACACTTGTGCCTTCCAACCAAACACCATGTCATGTTAGGGGAGTCCAAGTATCGTGCAAAAATGACTGCAACTTTCCTAGGCCTGACTGCTTGCTTAACGCATCCATACTCCGTGGAATGTATATGCATGGAAGAAGCATATTGTGCTTGTTGGTGTCATTCATCTAACACACAGTTCTATTCTGGACAGACAAGAATCACAACTTTTATTCTCTGTCACAGGAAGAGCAGCTGCCCTCCGCTGCTCAGTCTTGGGATTAGTCGTAGATTTTCATGATTAGACAGCAAAAATATAGGATTTCAAACATTATTGAAGAACGAAGCAGCCACATGGTTGGTATCCTACTAGTATATAATAACTAATGAGGATCCATTGGCTTGTGGGAAGTTTGCTATGAAGATATGATGATGATCATGATCATGAAACTGTCTGGGGCTTTTCCCCCCTTAAAATATTTTTCAGTTTCTCCACCAAAAAATGGCTCCATTAGTTCTGAAAACAGTCTCTTCCTTGATTCAGGTGGAAGTACTGAAGAATTAGCTGATCCCAGCCAAGACGAAGAAGTTGGTGATGCTAGCAAATCTGCAGGAGAAAATGTTGCTCGTTGGGATGATCATCTTACCCCGGCTGAGAGGCGTTATGTCGAGCAAAGGGCTAAAATTGACATGCATAGATTGGCTAAGACGGCCGATAAATCACACCGTGACCGAATTCAGGACTTCAATCAGTATCTAGCTAATATGAGCGAGCACTATGACATCCCTAAAGTTGGACCTGGTTGAGTACAGCAGCAGACTAATATAAGAGCTGAAAATACCATGTAGTGATAATCTTGCTTGTGAAACAATTGTCTGAAAACGAATGTTTCTTAGTTCGAGCTTCTTAATATGAAAAATCTCGCCTTCATCTTGCATTCCCAGGCAGAATACCTTTTTCTCGCAGTTATCCTGAACTAGTAGTATTCTTCTACTTTGACAACAATGTCCTGTCATAATTTACAATCCAAACAGACTCAATTTATTTCCTGATGGTTTCCAATTTTGATAAAGCCTGCGTTCTGATCTGTAACTTGACTGTTGGCCGTGCATTTGGAATTTTTGAATTTTGATTACTTATAATTAATTTGCTGTGGATACTGATTAACTGTTTGAGCATGTAATATGGGCGAGCGAGTATTAACGAGTCTTCGCCCTCCACCTCGTCTGTTTGTCGCTGGAAGGTAACTGATTTGTGGTTGCAGCAGATGTACGTTCTTTCATCGCGCACCCTGCAGACTTCAATATTTGGAAATTTCCTTCAACAAGAGTAATACACCATGAATCTCGCTGGAAGAAAGGGTAAAAAAAAAAAAAAAAAAAAGAAATATACTTTTGATAAAAGGTGTAAAGCACCAAAATCAGCCCAACACATAAGCTCACTCAACTGACTCAAGTTAAACCCAAAAACCATAGATGAGGAATGCTGTATGTGGTACTAAATTAGGACAACTCACGGGAATAACTACTCAAAAAAAATGGCCAACCCTTATTTGACAAAGTGCAGCAAAAAGCAAACAAAAAGTGAAAGCTGTTGACTCAGAAATTATACAGCTTATGAACCTTAAACTTTGTTTTTAGATGTATAGTAATTAACAGAAAACAGGAGTTGGGAAAATAAAAAATAAAACATAAAGAGAGTCTCTGAGAGGAAAGAGTGTAGCAAGCTTCAAAAAAATTATCAATTAAAAGAGCAAGGACAAAGCAAGAAATGGTGCCATATACTTTACCTGATTAGCCAGACTATAGAAATGAATTATGTTGCGCATCATCCATACAGACTTGTAGAAAGGACAGAACTTATCATATCTGTCACCAAAGTTGCAAGATATTGATTAACGCCAAAAGATTAAACCAATTAAATTGACGTGCCAATAGATAGGGACATACGGAGTAAATGCATTCTGTGCAAGGTAGTCCTCCCTCAAAAGCTTTGCTGTCTCCAACGTAATTTTATCTGTTTCAGCCAAAGCATCCTTTCCAACAAGCTGTACAAAAATGCTGAGGCTAAATAACAGCCATACAAGACAAAGCCTATTAAGTCATTTAGTTCCTCCTATTCTTATTTAATTAATTTTGTTCTGCACATATTAACTTGGACAATATGCATATCCTCCCCCATTAATTATCTCTTGCAAAAGAAAACACCCAATGGCAGTGTCTGAACAGAAAGGATGCCAAGACTCCACCATACAATTTGCCATGCTTCATACCAGGATCAGCTCAAAGCCCAAACACAAAACGTGAGAGAGAGAGAGAGATGAAACAATAAGCAGCGCGTAAATTTGACTATTTGCTCTTTGATTGGACAATGTTGTGTGCCTTGTACAAAAATCTTATCCTCTTACTTTGATCCCTTGAGAACACAAAGTACAGAAAAAATGCTATTCCTTCCAAATTTTATCTCAAGGTGGGTGAAACCAACAAATCACATACCTGCACAATTTCATTCAAGTCATCCTCCCTTTGCAGCACCTCACGAGCTTTAGTCCTGATGTCAATAAAATCCGAATCGAACTTCTCGTAGAAGGACTCCAGTGCCTGGGAACCCAGTCAGAGAGCATCAGCATTTTGATCACGAGTAGAAAGATAACAAAAGTAGGCAAAATACACAATTCAAAGCAGACTTAAATATGTTGAGAACACACCCCTGAGTACTTCGAGTACGATATAAGCCAATTGACAGAAGGGAAATGCTTTCTTTGGGCCAATTTCTTGTCGAGACCCCAGAAAACCTGACCAATGACAAATTTATACAACAGCATAGTTAAAAAAGAAGGATTATTCTTTATGAATATATGGAAGTAGTAGTTCTGTAAACAGATCACCTGGACAATGCTGAGGGTAGCAGATGTGACAGGATCTGAGAAGTCTCCTCCTGGAGGAGAAACAGCACCAACAATCGTCACACTCCCAGTTCTTTCTGGGCCACCAAGGCATTTAACTTTTCCAGCACGCTCATAGAAGGATGCCAAACGAGCTGCTAGATAAGCAGGATATCCACTATCCGCAGGCATTTCTGCCTATAATGGACAAAAAGTACAGGTCAGCACAAAGTAGACTCTAAACATACGTCTGACCATTCATATTACCAACATTGCCCATTCTGTTGATATGGAGTGACGACTTTGCACGTTTGGCAACCATAATTTAAATAACTTATTACAGACTTGACAAGGAATTCCATCAAATTCAAACTAGAAACACAAAATTCAGAGCTAAAGTTTTCAAACTGTTCAACAACTAAGCACCAAAAAGATGGGACCAAAAAGTAGTTCATCTAACAATAAGAATTTTTACATCAACAAATTTAAGAACCAGTCAACTAATAGCAATAAAACTCCCAGGAACTATTTTTGATTAGGGGGAAAATTATTATGGTCACATAGATTAAAAATGGAGAGAGCGCGCTAAAATGTAACATTTAAGACTTATGCGGTCTGACGAGTGGGAACTATCACAAGTGAAACTATCCTTGCCTTAAGATAGATGCACTACGATCCCAGTTCAGGAAAGGTATCTTCTAACCTCAACATTCCATTAAAATAAATTGAAGTTAAAAATGCCCTTCCAGTCCAAATATAACAAGCTAAACCAAATTTTCCTCTCAGGAGGTCGAAGACTTTCCAGTTGCAAATATTTTAACGCCTCTCCATCTCAAAAGGTTTGAGCATGTCATGAATAAGTAAAGAATCAGGATGACAAGATGAATGATTAATCTCATTCTCTGCGCACAAATCATTGCAGAAGTTGCTTAAGAAGGGGAATGGAGAAACACGTTGAGGCAAATTGCTGATATGATGTAATGTCACACTTGATGCTTTTAATACAAGCAAATACGGTTATAATGACTACCTCAATAACAAGGTAATTTAAGCAATTACATTATGATCTTTAAAATCGCGCAAAGACACAAATACCAATTCTGACATCACCTTATACAGCACTGAAAGATATTGCAGGAAAGCAAGTATGAAAAGTGAATTGCATAGAAGTTTTTACAAATGAACTACATGCCATAGCAGAACCAGGATGGAAACAATTACCAGACGCCCAGAAATCTCACGCAATGCTTCAGCCCAACGGGATGTTGAATCTGCCATCATACTGACATTGTACCCCATATCTCTGAAATACTCAGCTATAGTGATCCCTGCAAATTGACATTTATAAAATTTGAGGAATTGACAAAGATAAGGGACATTTATTGTGCTTTACAGCAAGAGGCATTAAAAAAATATGCAGAGGGTCAAAGCAACAAAGAGTAACAGCAACCTATTGAAAGCATGGCCCACTTACCCTTCAGCACCTGGAACACAATCAGGTTAACAAGCTAACATGCTACCTTACTTCAGAGGAAAAATGACTAACACAAAAAGCAACTAATCCATAAAATGACTACCATTGACTCTAATGTACTGCACTTTGAACCTTCCATTTTCAATGAAAATGGATTTTGTGCTTCCTGGAAGTAGTACTTTAACTTTTTTTGGGAGTTGGAATTGACAATAGAACATTTAGTGACCAATTTACCTGTATAAATTGATGCCTCACGAGCTGCCACTGGCATATTTGATGTGTTCGCCACAAGTGTAGTACGTTTCATGACAGATTCCTCACGACCATCCGGCAGCGTCATTGTCAATTGAGGGAAATCCATAAGCACCTGGATTTGGGAATTTTCATTCAAATAAATTCAGAAATAAAATAGAATAATGAACCCAGCAAGCATGAATTACAGATACCCGTACAGCCATACCTCTGCCATTTCATTTCCTCTTTCCCCACAACCAACATAAACAACAGTGTCGGAGTTAGAGTACTGCATCCATAAGTAACCAGAAAATAGAAGAATCAAAATTAGTTTACTACTTTCCCAGAACAAAGTCAGCTTACTAATTGCACAAATTTTTCTAGCATCCTCCATTCCCTACATCACAATGGGAAATTCCAATATATAACTCCAGAAGATTACCTTGGAAAGGGCCTGACTAATGACTGTTTTTCCACAGCCAAATGCACCAGGAATGGCACAAGTACCACCCAGCACTGAGGGGAACAGGGCATCAAGAACTCTCTGACACAACAGAATGCTATTTAGAAACAGCAGATTTGCTAGGACTTGCAAACAAATGAACAGTGTGAAAACATGATTTATTTGACAGATCAACTACCTGCCCTGTAAGAAGAGGAGTATCAGCAGCAAGCTTTTCAGCAACAGGTCTAGGTGTTCGCACAGGCCAAGTCTGCAGTTTCCCAAGAAACAATTGTCAGATGCTTTTTTCATAGTGCAACAAACATCACATATAACCCAAAAATTATCTATAAACTGGAATGTGTGCCAACCTGGAGCATGGTATATTGCTTTTTGACTCCTTGAAACTCAAGCTCAAGAACAGTATCCTGCATGTTGATGAAAACACTCAGTGCAAGAAGTTAACAAACAAAATGGATCACAATGGATTATATTGACCTCAGGCCTGAGAGTATTGATGCTAACAACTAACAAGTAGGTTCGGATGCATGACTTATGAAAATATACAGCATATTTTCAACAGTAATAGACAGTGTAATGCTCCCTCATCCCATTCTTAAACCATGCTTTGCTTTTTTGTCTGACCCAAAATTCTGGCATTGCCCATAGCAGTAGATGCATTTTCCAGCAATTTACAATTTATCCCTCAGGTAAAGGTTTATCTCCCTTCTTGTTAGGACACCATAAAACCTCATTGTCTATGAATTGCAATTTTTCAACATCATACAATCATCTACAAGCGTTAACCGTGTTAGCCAAAAAAGTTTTTGGAGATGTCTTTACACAGAGTTCCCATTACGTTATACTATTCCACAAGATTCAAGCAATCGGCAAAGCTTAACCTAGAAAGCAAGGACAATATTTGAAGATTGAAACTTAAAATGTAAAATAAGTTCCACTATTCTTCCCAGAAGAACAACCAACATTAGAGCCAGCAATAAATTACAAATTTCTGCTTTTCAACACAAGAAAACAACACATCAACTAGCAAATACTTGCTCCAAACCAATCCAGAAAATGACAAAAAAAAAAAAGTTTTCAAACATACCTGGTAGATAAAGAGAGAGTATGTCACAATCTAATGATAAACCTTACTAAGCACTTCCTTCACAATTCCAACTAGTTAATTACATACTTTCATTGTCTAAGAGTTTTTCAATCAAAACTAAATGCCTTTCCAGTTCTAAGGAAGACAGAATGCCAAAATGACAACTTCAAAGCATGATCTAATCACAATCACAGGATGGTTGATACTGTGGCAAAATACAGGCAGTAATATACTAACAAATAATTAAAGTTGATGATCCAAAGAATGCATTACATGTCCTTTTGAACCAAAAGTTAGCGTCTGTGTCTTGTACTAAGTCTGAGGAGAAAATAGGAGGCACATCAACTCAAGAATGCAAATGCATAAGCTGTTGGACACAGTGCTTTTGAATACTATTCGCATTACTCCACTCATGCAATTAACTGGATGATGTTAGCATAATAATGGACTTGATTGAACAAACCTTCAACGAGTATTGACCAGCTGGTGCAATATAGGTTATCTTTCCCATAGCATCAGGAGGAAGAGCAACATGATGTTGCATCAAAGTGTTTTCGAAGACAGTCTACACACAAGATTGATCAAGCAGTAAGTCAAGTTAAAATACAATGGATGCTTATAGAACGGTTGTCCATTCCACGCTTAAATAAGTCATTTCATACTTACAGCATACAAGTCTCCATTTGTTAAAAGATCCCCCTCACCTGCCATGAAATGATGATACATTGACAAGAATCACAATTTGTCTCTCTCAGTCACATTAAGGTATAAACCATTACAATGCAGCCTAAATATCTAAACTTAAATACTCTAAGCATACCTATTTTCTTAGGTTCAAAATCCCAAAGTGTGTCTTTGTCAAGTGCTGGCACAGACACACCACGAGGAATATATACATCACCAGACTTTAGCGCAATGGCCTTCAAAGGCCTCTGGATGGAGCAATTAAAGGATGAAAAGGGATTATCATCTGAAACTAATCTAAGAAAGCTTCTACATGAACTTCATGAGCTCTTAGATTTAAGAGGGAAAACAATGATCCACAGACCTGAATACCATCAAAGATGTTGCCTAATATTCCAGGTCCAAGTTCAACAGATAGGGGCTGTAAAAGAAATCAAGAATTCCACAAAAGAATGTTTAAAAGAATTCACATTTGAACAATAGCTATAATGTTTAATAGACAATTTCCTCAAAAGAGAAAAAAAAAAAAAAAGAATAACACAGAGAATAATGTAAGTAACAACCTTGTGCGTCCGTAAGACAGGATCATTCACCATCAACCCAGCTGTTTCCTCGTACACTGCAACAGAGACATACAAAGATCTTATTGTAAATATCAAGCTCCTAAGTTCATTCCATAAAACACTGAAAAATAGCAGGAACCATCTTATTTCTTCTTTTTAAAATTTTTCTTTTTCTGGTTTCAAAAATAGAAGTAAGACATTTACAATTTTGTCCGGAAAATACAAGCCAAAGTTTAGGTATAGAGGGAAGATTCACCCTCAAAAAGGAGAGAGAACTCCCAGGAAATGATAAACTACCTTGTATTGTGGCAGAATCTCCTTCCAAACGGATAATTTCCCCAATAAGATTGTCATGTCCAACACGAACCAGTTCATACATAGCAGCCCCAGCCATTCCATCTGCTACGACCACTGGTCCTGATACCTATTCAGGAAAAACAAATGCAAAAGAGCATTACCATCAGTTGTCAGTAAAAGTTTCCCCTATTCTGGTAGCTTTGACTTTGTTACAGAAAAAAAAAAGAGATTACCAAAAAAGAATACAAAAAGGAACTCATTTTTTAACATCTTAGCACCAGATATAACATGGATGCTGTTCAATGAAAATGCAAAAAGCATCCACACTCTTAAGTAGTAGGAAAGCCAACAATATGCAGTAACGAAATTCAATCTGCTGAAATGCCATTGAATGCTTCCTAGCATTTAGAGCAGACATAAGACAGTGAAAAAAGGAAAGGGTAGGTAACACCCCAAAAAAAAAAAATGGAGGAAGTTGAGTAAGTAAAACTGATCTGCGCTACAGAAACTAATACATATGGAAACTAACAGTTTGAATCCTAATTGACCTCCAACAATTGAACGAGCAAGACAGAAGTAAGATGAACAAATTTAGACATTTCTCGGAGCTATCCGAAAAGCAGCTGCTGCCAGTATTCTGATGCCAACATAGCCGATCAGTATTCTGATTGCAGATACCGACAATAGCATTTAAAACCGAGCAAAAGACAGAAATGCCACTTTACAACAGAGAAATAAACCAAATACAATTAGATCAGAGTCTCGGAGCACAGAATCGGAAACGACAAGCAAATATCGTAGCAAGCGATGCGCATAAACAAGTTAAAATAATGGCTTTCAGAATAAAGATCATGGAAAGATGGAGCCAGAAATAACTACTAAGTATCCAATGGAATATATACAGGGAAAATCAAATTCTCCCAGTATACAAATGTATACGCTATTCCGCTGAGGAGATTGAGAAATTGGATCCTATTGAGCTTGTCAGAAAATATAAGAGAAGACAAAACAAAAAAATAGAAGAAGTAGTAGTAGAAGAGGATATAGATTGAAGGAAGATGAAGGGGACCTTGCGGACGTAACCGTACTCGCTCTCCTTCTCGGCATCTTCGAAGGTTGTGAGAGGTCCTCCGTACAACGACGGCATCTTTCTGTCTGGCAGATCGGAGACGGAGAAAATATGCTCGTGTCTCTAGGTGTATATGAAATCTTATGTGTAGAATTGTGCGAGTGAAAGATACGTGACTGAGGTGAATCTCGCTCCCAAGACCCGATCGGCGATGGAACTCCAACCGATATCTTCCGATTTGGGGTGTAAAAAAAATGAGGAGCGAAAGTTTTTTTGCCCTTTTTTTTTGGACAGGGGTTGGGGGGAGGAGGGGTTTGTTTGGCAATGTTTCTGTGATGCCTCACAGATGCAAAAGGACCAAAACTGACAGAAATCAAATTTTTTTTCCAAACGATAAAACTGACAGTAATCAATTGAATTGAGGTTTTTGCCAAAAAAAAAAAATTGAATTGAGGTGAGAGACGACTGATGACACTTGGAAAAAATTACTCCAGTGGAGAGGAGAAGAGAACGTGAACTTGGTGATTTTCTTTTTCTGGTCAAAACTGCCCCTTGTAGTTGGCATAATTACACACCTACCCCCAAACAGAATACAAACTAGCAGTATTACTAACTTGTAAGTATATAAAATTTTCCTTTTCTTTTCTGAAATTTTTATAAAAAAATATACAGCAATATATATAAAATAAAAATATGATTAAAAAATATGTATAAAAAAAATATTAAAAAAAAATTTTAAATGACTTTCCAAACATTGCAGTCCACTTTCTTATTTTGACTGACATTATCTAAAATGTAATTCATACTATACAAAAAAAAAATCAAAATTCCTTGTATAAAGTAATAAATAGCAAAGCAAGAATAAACAAAATATGTAAACAAATGTAATGCTCAATAATAGATTTCAAGATAATTAAGTCAATTTTACATATTTTTTATTTTGACATCTAATTATTGATTGCACTAAACATTGGAAATGGGACCAACATTTCATTTTGAAATGCATACAAGACATTTATATGAAATATATATTTTTTTTCATGTCATTCTGAGTAGAAAAAGCCATTTTGAGTGGAAAGACATGTTTAGATGATTTATTTGAAATTATTATTATAACACTTTTTGTGATATGATATATGTGAGATAAAAATATAATTAAAATTTATAAAATAAATTATTTTTTCTCAAATCATCTCAATCCAAACACATTTAAGATTGTTCTTATTACTAGTTTTTTTTTTTTTTTTAATCAGCAATGATTGAAGCTAAGAGAAAAGTCAACATCTATTACACTTTTGTGTTGAATTCATTTTCACGACCAAGAAAAGAAAGCAAATAAATGACGGAACCAAAAGGTAAGTCATTAAGAATGCCGTAATGATCCAAACACGTGTCCGACTTCATATCATACAATCTCATGCGAGGTCAATAGTTTCCTAACGCCCCCCCCCCCCCCCCCCCCCCCCAAAAAAAAACTAATTTAGGGATTAGTTATCATCCAAATAACCACCTACGCATGATGAGGGGCTAAAAGTTTATCCAAACAAGCCCACTGACTAGTGCGTCTAATTTTGACAAAAAAAAAAAAAAAAAGACTAGTGCGTCTAACATTAACGGCGTTGAGGCTTCTTGGTTAGCCGGACAAACTTCAATGTACACATAAGTGACATAACTATTGCTTACGTAACGGTCGGTCAAAACTAAAATAGAGATGTAACGCATCTAAAATTAAAAGTTCCGAGTTCTTTTTCAAAAAAAAAAAAAAGAAAAAAAAAGTTCCCAGTTGCAAAGTGAAATAGGCAATGGCCGCTTTCAAACCAGTTCCGACACCAGTTCTTTTTAAGTTTTTGACACCAGTTCTGAAGCCATTGTCTAAATAAACTGATTTGCATCAGCTGCTTTACTAGATAAAATCCCAAGCCACGCTTAGGTACGTACCTTTCTTTGAACGAATGCCTTCCAGTTGTCCCCCTTATCATTTTGCCCAAAAATAGGACCATCAAAACTAAATCCTAATATTCTATTCGACCAAAAAGAAACCATAGCTGGTCAAGAAGAGTATACGAACTACAATTTAAGTATAAACTAAAATTTGCTTAATAAATTTTTATTCAAACTCAGGCAAAATAATAATAATAATAATAATAATATGTATATGTGTGCGCGCGCGTATAGTTGTAACCTACGGCATTAGATTGACAAGCAGTCTGCGATGGCCCTAGAAAGGGCTGTATACTTTGAGATGGTTTGAACATCACTTTCAAAGAAACACTGGAGCCATTACAAGAGTAATCGTTGCAAGCATTTTGATGAGCACGTGCAAAGAAGGTCCTGCCGTATCTTTAAATGGGTCTCCCACACTGCAAGTCAGATTCAGAACGAACTCCATGAGTTGTATTGTATATAAATGAGTGAGAAGTGAACTGCCCGAGTTTTCCATCAACACAAATGGAACTGTGTGTCCACACGTGTGCACATATTTTTACCATAAAGGGAGGAAATTGAATTACAAGTAAATCACTAACTAATGAAAATGCACTTACGTGTCACCAGTCACTGCAGCTTTGTGGCAGTCACTTCCTTTGCCTCCAAGAGCTCCGGTTTCAATGTACTTCTTTGCATTATCCCAGGCACCACCAGCAGTGTTCAAGAAAAGTGCCATTAGAATTCCAGAAACTGTAGCAAACATCAGCATGGCAGCCACAACTTTTGCGCCTAGAAGAGGATGTCCAGTATAGTATCCCACCATCCGAAACACAAAACCTGTATAGTGATAAAAGTCGATTTTCAAAGGCAACCAAAAGAAAAACAAATATTCGTATTCACCCAAAATCATAGGCGAAAACAAGGTTCTCCATAATGACATCACATTGCATTTCTAGGTGGATCTTTGTATCTATGACAGAAATTTACTAATTTGGATAGGTTTAGATAGTTGACTAGCTGCGAGGGTGGACAGATGCCAGCAAAAGAATCAAGGGTCAACATGAGAATCAAGTAAAGATGAATTTGGAGCAAATAGATTAAACCTTTTCAGTTGTAGCTAAAGGAAAGACCAGTAATCAAGACAGTGAATAGCCTACCTACAACTATAGGCGATACAATAGCCAAAGCTCCAGGTTTTATCATCTCCCTCAAAGATGCAGATGCGACAATAGACACACACCGACCATAATCTGGTTTTTCCTTGTAATCCTGCCGCAAGTGAAATAATAAGCATTATAGACATCACCTACACACCAAAAGAACTTCATCGGTATATCGTACTTACCATGATACCTGGTCTCTCTATAAATTGTCTTCTAACTTCATTGACAACTTCTTGAGCAGTTCGACCAACAGCAGAACAGGCCCAAGCACTGAACAGGAAAATAAGCATGGAACCTAATAATCCACCAACAAATACTTCTGGGATGGCAATGTCAACCTGCACAATCAAGGGTGTGGAAGTTCAGATGTTAATCGCGCTGTGTCCAAAAAGTAAGACTTCAAAATATATGCAGAACCACTTTAAAAAGGAAGAAGAAGAAGAAGAATACGAGGAAGAAGGAAAGTCATGGAGGTGACTGAATCCACCTGCTTAAAGGCTGCATGAGAAAATGCAGCTACCTCATCCATGTAAGCACTAAAAAGAAGGAAAGATGCAAGAGCTGCAGATCCAATAGCAAAACCCTTGGTTGTAGCTTTAGTCGTGTTCCCAACTGCATCAAGAACATCAGTAATCTCGCGCACGCTTTCCGGCTGCAAAGGTAATGAATCATACACTCATTTGATGAAGACAAGGTTTTAGGAAATAACCAAGGTTCAACAACTCATCCGAACTAACCTGCTGACTCATCTCAACAATTCCACCTGCATTATCAGCAATAGGCCCAAACATATCCATGGTTAGAACATATGCTGCAGTGCTAAGCATTCCCATGGTTGCTACAGCTGTTCCAAACAAACCACCTGTTGAATTCCCAGCTTCATCCACCAGTCCTGAGGTGTGGCCCAGCCAGAAAGCAGAAATAACAGATACACTAATAACAAGCACTGGCAGAGCTGTCGATTCCAAACCCAAACTAATACCAGCGATTATGTTAGTTCCATGTCCTGTGGAGCTGGACAGAGCTAATGTTCGGACAGGCTCATGCTTGTAGTCAGTATAGTACTTAGTTATCCAGACAAACACATACGCCGTCAAAATTCCAACCAAACCACATAAAGCAAAGTTCAACCAGGCCAAAGGTGCTTGTTCAGTATACAACATCCAGCGAGTCGACTGCAAGGAAATGGAAAAGCCATCACCAGCTAGAGAATGTAACTCAACTACCTACCAAGCCACTCAAAGGACATAACCCAAGGGTCCCAAGCAATGACAGAAAAGAACAGTTCCTTCTCATTCTGGACAGCAAAAAGAAGCACCAAGAGGTCAGGAAGAGGAGAGAAATTATGTTTAAAGAAAGGGATCAAAATATTACCAGACCAAAAGTTATAACAGCTAAAACTATTGTAACAGAGTATCCTTTCTGAAGGATCAACATTGGATCCTCTACTACGCCAATTGCTCCAGCATCACGTTTACTCCGAATGGATAGTATTCCCACAGATGATACGACCAGGTCAAATGAGTGAACAACAAGAGGAAACAAAATGAATCCAGATGGGTCTGCATGTAAACAACTAGAATTCAAAGTCTGCAAATAGGCTTATTATGTTGTTGAGCAAAGCACTAAACATGTAGAAAGGGACTTATTTCCCGCCAGTGCCTTAAAAAGATGAATAAAGAGAAGAATATCCTTGCCAAATTCAATGAAAGTAGAAGCAGGAAAAGTTCAAAATAAACTCGTATGAGCAACTATAAGACCAACATCCATGTCATATGATCCAGTCAAGTAAAATCAACATTGGATGCCTTATAACCACATAAAATCTAATTAGACTTTCATCAAATAGGTAGAGGCCTACTTGTCTGTTGCTTGGATCAGAAAGCTAGTCGGCTATATTACACTGATTACTAAGGCAGGACAAACTGAAATATTGGACATAGTTATATCCCTGCTAATGACCAGAGCTGCTGAACTATGAAATTGGGCACCCAATTGTTATTATACACAAGGTTAAAATGGACTTGTACAAGAAAGTAATATAAAGCATTATTGGTCATAATTTCAACCGTTTTCAAAAAGCTCAACCATAAGCATAAGAATTACAACTTTCAGGAACTAAATTTGATAATAGAGTAAAATGATTCACAAGTGAATTCAATTTGAGAACAAAATGATTCACACTATTTCTGGAAGCTCCTTTTCAGGGACAGTACTTGTCATACTGATAAATCACTAGTATCAACCATTAATGTATGCCTTATTTCTAAACAACAAATGTTCACCTCACTTAGCCAAGGGAAAAGTATGACCAGGACAGAA